GATTTGAGGTTCGGGAGCATAAAACCATGCGCTGATGCAATCTTTCTTTAGGTTTCGAAAGAAAGGCAGGTGAGTTTCCATTTGTACTTCCATTTTCTCCCTGGCTTGGTGATGGTGTTGGATCAACATTCCAGAGCTCCTTCCGGACAGCCCTTAAGCCTATGGAAAAAAGTGATTAAAACGTATCTGAGGGACGCCAATATCCTGGAGTATCAGTATATGGGGATGCAAAGGGGAGGTGGGACAGACTCGAGTTTAAATCCAGCGACTTTAAAGGTTAACGATGACTTTGTTTTTATACGAAGGAGCCAGTCCCGGGAACACCCACGCGGCTCGAAGAAGAGGGAACGAGTCTGAAAACCGAAACCGGCCCAGGACACACAGACGATGTCCCCGGGGCTCGCTAGTCCTGCCGGCCGGCGGCACGCGGACTCCGCGGATGCACCGGGCCCACCCCAGGGCCATCTCCGCCGGGGTACCCCCGCCGGGGAAGCTGGGGCTGGGGAAGAGGTGGAGGGGTGGAGGAGGGGCGGCCTGGCTGAGGCCACGCCCACGCCCTGCCCACGCCCCGCCCCGCCACGATTATAGCTGATGACTCAGGGCGGAGCTCCACATCCAAGCGGCGCCGCCGCCAACTTATCTGGATGGGACCAGAAGTTTCTAGCCGGCCAGTTGCTACCTCCCTTTATCTCCTCCTTCCCCTTTGGCAGCGAGGAGGCTATTTCCAGACGCTTCCAGCCCTCTCCGGCCACGTCACCCCCTCCTTTAATTCATAAAGGTGCCCAGCGCCGGCTTCCCGGACACGTCGGCGGCGCGCACGACTCTAGCTCCGGTCGCGGCCAGCGAGCGACTCTGCATCTGGAGGTCCGGCACCCCGCGACCCCGTGACCCGGCACCCCGCGATCCGGCACCCCGGCGGCCACCCCTCTGGGCCGACCCCGACCCAGCATGAGCGCTGCCACCCACTCGCCCATGGTGCAGATGGCGTCCGGCAGCGGCGCCGGCGACCGCGACCCCCTGCCCCCTGGCTGGGAAATCAAGATCGACCCGCAGACCGGCTGGCCCTTCTTCGTGGACCACAATAGCCGTACCACGACGTGGAACGACCCGCGTGTGCCCCCCGAGGTCCCCAAGGTGAGCAGGGCCCGCGCCGCAGGCCGCCGGGTCAGCGGCCCCCCCTCGACGGCCAGCGGTCGGCACAGGGCCGTAGGGGGCGGCTGGACTGGGCCGGGCTGCGGAGACGCGAGGCGCCAGGTGCCCGCCGGCCGTAGCCCGCCTGAGCTGGTGCCCCGGAGGTCAATGAAGGCCACCTGGGACGCACGGACCCCCCAGAAGGATACCAGCTCTCAGGGGGTCGGCCTGCTGCCCCCCCAACGAGCCCCCTCCCATGGCCGGCGTCGGGGCGGGGGGGAGGTCCCGGAGAGGACTGTCCTCCCTGGGTCGCGTTTGGTTTCCGGGGGTCGGGCGGGAAGTGGGACCCGCGCGGTGGCGCCGGGTCCGGTCCACCGGCTCGATTCGAGGGGCCGTGGGCCAGGAGACGAGGGGAGGCCGGCCTGGTCAGCATCGGAGGCCCGGGCCAGGCCCCGCCGCGGCCTCCGCCCGGCTCCAGGACCGAGATCCTGGTTTCACCCTGCTGACCGTACTTTGGCGGACGCCGGGGGTCCATTGGCAAGCTGGGGTGGGGGTCTTTTAGGGTCTGTTAGGAATTTTACCCCCTAAAGTTCCTGAATTCGATTGAAGGTGTCTTGACTTCACCCTCCCATCTCAGGCACAGAGTGACTCAGGAGACTGGATGTAAATTCATTCCTTTTTTTTTCCCCATTCTGTATTTGAAATTAAAATTGTATTATTGGTTGAAACTGTTTTCACTAAGAATATATTCTAGTATGACTTGTTAAAAACAAGATGCTGTTCTTCCAGGCAGTTTCTAAACTAAAGATGTGGGACTGTCTCCTAGTTGGCTATTGCCTTAGACATTGCCTCACACTGGCAAGAAAGAGACTTTTTTTTTTTTTAAATGGCAATACATTCCCTTCCTTGTTATGTTACTAAAATACCTAGGATTTGTTTCTAATACACAAATAACTGTGTAGTAATACTTTTGTATTAGAAGGATGCCTCATTTACATATATGCAGGGATATATACTACTTAATCCTTAGAAGCATGAAAATTTGAAAATAGGAGCTTGGAATGAGTCTGTTAACTTAAAAAATTATAACTAATCGTACTACTCTTGTAATTTTCTATAAATTTGAACTTTTTCAAAATATAAAGCTTGACAAAAAGAAATATACTTAAAGTGTAGTGTTACATTGTCTGGGCAAAATAAAAATAAAAGTCATAGAGAGTTAAGTTATTTTGAAGATTTAAAAATTCACAAAATTAAAAATGCTTTATAAATCATTATTTTAGAAGAAAGATCTGTGTTATCCACCTTCATTTTTATGCAGTTTTTTTCTTAAAAATATTTATAAGACTGGTGCCCAACAGTGAGACATTGTAAATTCAGAAGCTTACATTTATAAGAAATTAATTGTATATTTATTTCTGAAAATTAGTACCAGAGGCTATAATTAGCTGGGATGGGCGTAACCATATATACTTTTTTGCTTGTCTGTTCGGCCCATTATTGAGTGAAACTGATGCTCATTTCAAACCAGCTCTGTTACTGCAGCCTGCAAGGATGTAGATCTTTACTGTGGGCAAAAAAACACAAAAAACAAAAAAAAAGTATCATTTTGAGGCTTCCTTCCTATAGAGACAGGGACAGTCGGAATCCGCTGGCATCCTTGGTGGTGAGCGAAGATCAGGTTTGGACACATCCACTGTGAGTGCAGGGTTAAGTCCCGCCTTGCTGGCGCTTTGTTTCCAACATGAAACTCACTCAGCACGTTGAGATCTTCGTGCATCTATCTGTACAGTGGATGGGTTAGGCTGTGGTTTTATAAACTTTTTCAAGGGGGAAGAAAACAGGTTGAGTTACTATTATTGTTCTCGACAAGTAGAAAATGCAAGCTACTAAATCAGAAGTCTGATGCTGGAAAAGTTGATTTGAAAATTTAACAGTCAGAATTTTAAAGTGGAAAAAGGTCCTTAAAGACCTTTTACCCCAGCCTCTATTTTTCTGAGAAAGAAACCCAGAGAGGGGCTTCCCTGGTGGCACAGTGGTTAAGAATCCGCCTGCCACTGCAGGGGACGCGGGTTTGAGCCCTGGTCCAGGAAGATCCCACACGCCTTGGAGCAGCTAAGCCCGTGCGCCACAACTACTGAACCTGGGCTCTAGAGCCCGTGAGCCACAACTACGGAGCCCACATAATAAATAAATTTATAAAAAAACACACAAAACACAACCCAGAGAGTTCAAGTGTGTTTCCAAAGGCCACTCAGCTAGTACCAAGAGCAAAGAGAGAACTACACTGAAAAGTCGATAAGAGGCAGTGTATCTGTTCAGAGGAAGGTAGAAGTGTCTTAAATTTTTACGAAACTATGAAGCGTGCAGGCTGGAATACTTGATAATTTTTGTGTCCTCCCAACCATCAAGTATTGGGTGGCTGACTTCTGTTCTGTGACTACTTAGATGGTGATGGCTGGATGTGATCAACTCAAGAAAAGAGCTCTCTTTACCAAATTAATTACTTGAGATTTCTCAGCACGGTACCAAAACATAGGGAGAAAACTAACATTCAGTTCATTAGCTCTGGGCTACATTGCTTTCAAGACTGTGCTTTGATATACACAGAACATCTGTGCGACTAATTCAGTTTCACTTATATGAATGACACCTTACTTCAGAGTAAATACAATGGAAAATCCTTCACTGTTACTTTATATTCGAAATTTGGTTTCTTAATGTGGAATGAGAAAAGGGCTCTGGCAGAAAACAAAGGGTGATTTTAGAGGAACTGAGCTAAGAGGACCCTCTGAGCGTCCTTACTTTCAAGAGGAGATGCTGTCAATCAATAAAGAGCTATTCATTGAGCATGAAAAACAGAGAAAGCCCTCTTCTGGAGAAGACAGCTTCTGGGTGTTTACAGTTTAACCATGTAGGTACAGAAATGGCTTTCGCGGAAGGAAGATAAAGATTAGAACTTTGGTTTAGTCTTATCCTCTGTTGTCTTACGGTTGGTCCTCTCTCATTCCCTTGAGGTGGTTAGAGTGACTTTTCATCCCATTTTTACAGAGGCGGCAACTGAAAGCAAGCGTCTTGCCCTTCATTGCAGAGGCAGGACAGCTAGAGGCAAAGGCTTTGGGCTTAATCCAGCTCCACTCTGAGCAACTGAACCTGCAGTCTTCCCGGATATCGATTTTCTGCACACGTGGGCTTCCCACTAATCTCCTGGCAATTTCATACCAGTCCAGGCCCCGTCTCTGGCAGAGAGCTTGACGTCCACTTTGGAATCAGGGGATGTGCAGTTTCTGTGCAGCCACTCCTCCAGGCTCTCTTGCTACATAAACAGAGGCCAGATAGTTTGGAGTGTGGCGCTGTGCTGCTCCCTCGCAATCCTTCCTGCGACCAGAGCGAGACCCTCCTCCCTGGAGGAGCAGGGCTGTTCTAGCTCTGCCGGTCTTGGAGGTCCCCGGCACGGATTCCCAAGCCTGGCAGTCTCCAGGGAAGCCTTTTAAGAACACACGTTGCCAGCTGGGTACCCCCTTGTTCAATCCGAGTTGCTCAGGGTAGGGCCCAGAAATCTGTATGTCAGAAAAGCTTCCCTCTTGGTTCTTGGTTCCGGCAGTCTGGCATTTGGGAGCCACCGAAGGACAATGATCCCACTTCTTAGGGGGGCGGGGGAGCTGTGACTTCACGTGCGCCTGCGTAGGCCTTGGCATCCTCAAGGGGCCTGCTCAACATCTAACCTGCAGAGCCATCACCGGGGCCTCCCTTCCTTCGTGGTGAAACTCACCCGGTGCGTGGCTTCTGGGAACGAACATAGGGGTGGCATGGGGAGGGGTGGAGCCGGGTGGGGTGCCAGTGCCGGGTGTGGGGAGGTGGTCCCGAGACCCTCCTGAACCCCAGGAAGAAGCAAGCCAGAGTCTCTCCCTCTTGTCTTCCGCTGCCGGCAGAATCTCACCACAGTAATTTGACAGATTATCCTCAGGCTCTGTGCGAGACAGGAGCATCCTTTCAGAGGAAATCGGAAATGTTTTGAATGTCGACTGAAGTAGAGCCCCATTTCTTCCCCTTAATGTTCAGCGGAGCTTCCTGAATTTTCTTAAAGATGAGATCACCTTGTTCTTTGCAGATTGACTGCAAGCTCCTGTGCCTCTTAGAATTGGAACACAGTCAGGAAATGAGCGGCCATTCTCTCCTTTGTATCTCCAGCAAGTTGCAGTTACTCTGGAGCCCATTTCTTTATGACTGATGAATAGTGATTTGCTGGGGGTGCATAAAGGACATGGCCAGATGCCTTATGAGTCCAGCTCATCCGGGACCTTCATTTTCCCTCTAAAGAACAGTCTGTGTTTGGCTTATGCAAGAACTGAGCAAAACTTGTCTCCTGTTTTGTGGAGTGTATTTACCCTTTACAAGGGTAGAGTCAGTGCCTGGGAACCGTGGCAGCGTTTGACGTTAGCCAGGGCCGGGAAGGCTTGGTTGTTTGTTGCTGTTGGGCTGCCTGTGAGTCAGAAGGCTTCATACCACCCATGAGGCTTGATTAGCACTGTCCTCGTTTCTGGAATGACACACAGTTGCCTTATATAAACCACTCTGCATGTCTGTTACTTCCTATTGACATTTTAAAATGATCTGGTATTTTTCATAAAAATTAAGAAACCGTGCGTAGCCCAAACCTACTCTTTCTCCTTCCTAGTTTTGCTGTTTTCATGTTGCTCTTACATATTTAAGACACCTTATATAGAAAAACGGGGAGCAGGAGACAAAGGCCTTGCTTATTAGGAACCTCCGAGGACCCTCTAGTGCTGATGGACACCGAGCAGACCTCTCTCCTACCTGACTGAGGAATTCTCCAGCCCCTCCCGGCTCCCCATTGCTCGGGAATCAAGTCTACACACCCTTTTGTGCCTCAGCCCTCAGACTCACAGCTGGACTTTTGAAGCTAGGCTCCGGATCCCCTCCTTCTGCAGATGTGGAAGCTGACCTCTAGCCCTTGTTCGGCGTGTGCAGCTGCGGGAGCTATCTGGTGTCTTAAACTCTTCACATATTTCTACGACGATTTCTCTGGGGGCCTCGGCAGCTTCTCAGCAAGCCAGGCAGCTTGTAAAAGCTTAAGCAGAGAGAATTTCTTCAGGAAGGGATGAGCTATTTTTTTGTCTGTCAACATATTTATAGCTATGTGCCAGACGCAGGTGGGTGCTTTTCCAAACCTCTCTTTAAATCCTCAAAGCAGCTCACTAAGGTGGAAGCTGTCAGGCTCACCTTATGCATGAGGAAACAGACTTGGAGAGAGAGGATGTGCCTGGCCTGTCAGCTGTGACGAAACAGAAAGGCTGTTGTAGCCAGAGGTTTACCACCCCACCCCCACCCCCGCCCCAGGTGACAGACAGGCTTGCCGCTAGTGGACCTGGCTGCTTCTCTATACTCAGTCCTTTATGCTCCGAGCTCGCCAGGCACAGTTCTGCGGATAAACAGCCTTGAGTCCATCTCTTACAGCCGATCAGAAATGTTGGCTCGTTTCCTGAGCCTGGGTCTGAACCTAGAAGATGGCCCCCAGTCTTCACTCATTCATCTCTTCCGACATTTTTGAGCACCTGCTCTCTGTAAGTCATGGTGTTAAAGGCCACACAGAGGACAGTGCTGCCTCCTCCGGTGCCATTTTCCACAAAGCATTTATTCCGTCTCTCCGGTGAAGTAGGCTGTCCCTGCTCTGGACTCCACATTACTTCCATTCTAATCTTTCTTCCAAAAGGCAGCACTTTTCTAGTTTGCCTTGGGGTCACGTCCCTGTGGGCTGGGAGTCCCAGAGGCACAGTCTGCGTCTCTTTCCCCTTTCTGCTTCTCAGAGCCCGGCAGGGTCTACAGGCTCAGTGTGTGAAGGATTCTGCGTGGGGAAGAGTAAAACATGGGCCTGGGCTCCAGAGTGGACAGGCTGGTTGAAGGAAAGCATCCCTTACTGAAGAGTGTGTCGCGGGAAGCCTCCTGTTGGTTCCTAAGCAGTGTTGTCTTCTGCTCCCCAATGTCTCCCGGGAGCCGGTTCCTTTTTATTGAATTTCTGAATGGCCTTTTCTCCACAGGGGACTTTGGTATTGATTCCCTAAATTCATCCTTACGGGTCTGGAGAAGCTCTTTTTTGTCCCCGCCAGTGACACAGCGTCTTGGAGCAGGCCTGCCGGGGAGGCCGGTTGCTGGCAACAGCCAGACGCCACTAAGCCACAGCGGCAGAGAGCAGCCCCGGCGCCACGGAAGGAGCCTCTCTCCAGTTTTTTTGTCCATGAGGCTGGCAGTAAGATCAGACGCTGCAGAGCGAAGCCTCTTATTCACTGTCAATTCTGAAGCGCCCAGGATGGTAGATTGCCTGCTGCCTACATTAGGAGCCTGTAAACAGTGTGCCTCCTGAGTCCCTGCGCAGAGCTGTGTCCCCAGTGATTGAGGCGAGACTTTCCCCTGAAAATGCCTTAGCATCCTTTTGAAGAGCAAACATTTCCTATTTTGAAGTAACTTCCTCAGTTTCTTGAAAATTTAATTTAATTTAAAGTAGAATTGTTGTTCTTTTCAGTTATTTTAAAAATTCTTCTTGGACAAAGAAAGAAAGAAAGAATGAATAGTTTAGAAATGGAAACGGCAGGAAGAAAGGAAAGGACGTGTGTGGCAGAGAAGGCAGCCACATCGCTTTTGCATCTTCCAGATTATCCCATGGACCCTGAGTGTCAGAGCAGGACCCGCTCTCCTGCTGGGCTAGACCTGGGTTCTGTCCCTGCAGAGGCCCCATGCTGGGCTTGTGTGGAGTCTTGGGGCTGTGGTGACTCAGGGGTGCGCCCCGCTCCCGCTGCCCTGCCTCAGCCAGGCAGTGACTCAGCATCGAGCCCTGGCTCCCTGACCGAGACCACACTCGAACTGAATGTTCCAGGTCTGCGCCTCAGCCCAGCTCCAACCGGGCGAAATGAAATGCTTTCCCTCCTGCTGCATTTCACCCCAAGAAAGTGAAGGGTTTGGAGACATTAGCCAATAATTATCACACAGTGTACAGGGGTGGCAGGAATAGTGAAAGGGTTAACGTACCCCCGGCCTTGGCGTCTGACAGACCTGGGTTCTGGTGATCTCAGGTAAATCACTCACCTTCCCCGAGCCTCAGTCTCTCCTGAGAAATGGGCATACACCAGTACCTGTCCAGCAGGGTCGTAAGGATCGGGAAAGTGATGAGCCAGGGCCTGACCTGAGGCATGTGTGTGGTCCGTGGCGACAGTCCCAGTCTTCGCCAAGAAGTCGGAGGGGATTCACAGGCGCTTGGCTTTCCCACAGAGTGGACAGTGCTGGCTGGACGTGGGTCTCTTGGTTCCCAGATGGGTATGAAGTCTCGTTTCCCAAGACAAGGCCTCTTCTTATCGCCCCTGGACCACTTTAGCTGATACTCTCCTTCCACCAGTGTCCAGACACCCTCAGCACCCTTCCCGGGGGTTTCCTGTGTCCCTCGTGGGGGTGGTAGGTGCTGGGCAGTAACTCAGCGTGAGGGCAGATGAAGGCTCTCAGCCAGACCTGCAGCCCACAGCCTCATCAGCCTGTGGACTCACCCCAGATCCCGTGCCCAAGATGGGCCAGCAGAATTGTGTATCCTGTGTTCCGCAGGCGGCGCTGTGTTTACCCTGAATCCCGACTGCTTGAGGCGGGGCTCTCCCTCCAAGTCTCTGCACAGGCCTGAGGACCGACCAGGTGCCCAGTGGTGTTGCGGGGAAACGGAGCCACGTTAAACGAGGGGCTGGCCGTCTGCACAGGTGTACTGGACCCTGCCCTCCTAAGTGGGGGAAATGTCACCGTGGGTGGAAGGAGAGAGGCAGGGGGTTTCTAATTGCCACCACCCTTTTGGGGGAGGGTGGTTGCTGAGGAAGGAATGCTTTGAGAAGCTGCTTAGGGTGGGGGAGGAGTCCCTCCAGCAATCCCCCCAAGACTGCCACCTTCTGTCAGAGTCTCCCCCTGCCGGAGCTGTGGTTGATGAATTTGAGATTTTTTTCTTTTGCAAAACGGTGTTTTGTACAAAATACATGTCCAGTGAAGCCCAGCACCCTGATAACAACAGATGCTTTGCATGGTTGACATCTCACAGATGGAGGAGCCCAGTGACTGAACAGTGTTCTACCTGAGTCTGAGAAAGAACCTTGAGAAACCCATGGAAATGTGTCCATGGGGATGAAGAGGTCTCTTTATCTAAATTCAGACAAGATTTCGCTTCCTAATATGGAAATTTCAGGTACTTTTCCGTTTGTGATTTATGCCTTTAGATTGATCCCTACCCTTTTTTTTTTTTTTTTCCTGAAGAGGAAGTAGGTAGTCTTTAATTTCCCTGAAGCCGTTGAGCTCAGGAGCTGAACCCCAGTGACCGGGGATTCTCTTCCTGGTTCTGCAGTCACTTCCCATGTGACCTTGGGCCACATCTGCTCCATGGTATCCTTGAGGAGGGATCCAGGGGTCCCATGGGGGACTCTGAGCCCCGAGCGCTCTCCCCCGCAGGGGACATACCCAGCTGTGGCCTGGAGACTGCTTATATGCCCTGGGGGGACACACTGAGAATATTAGGGGGACACCAGCAGATGTTCTACTCCCAGACACCAGCCTGGCTTGGCTCTTTCCCCTGGGTCTCAGGGGCATGTGTGCAGGAACCACAGTCACTGCAGGTTGCGTGTTGATTCCCCAGGTGAGTTTGTCTGCAAGGCAGACCCCTTCAGCGCCTGGGGCCTGTTGAAGGGAGAGGGGAGTTTAGGGCTCAGGCCCCTAGAGTTGTTTTTAGCTGTGTTTGCTTCCAGGTTGTGAAACTTTAGATACATTTCTTAGCAGAGAAAGTGTCATCCCTGCTAATTAGCGCTCTTAAGACTCTCAATAAAGGGGCTTCAGACTCCCAACAGGCTCATTACCAACTTGGTGAGATCACTGAAGAATTAAACCCAAATTCACAACTCTGTAAACAATAGGCCCAACCAACTGTTGCTTGGGAAAAAGCTGGGTTTGTCAATAACTATTTGTGGCATGGAGGAACGTAGTTGTATAGGGCATGGGACAGCTCAGAGTTTACAAAGACTTTCTCATGCCTTATTTCACGTAAATCTTGCAAAAAGCCCTGGAAGGCATGGGGATTTTTATAGCTGGGGGAACTGAGTCTTAGTAGCAAGGAGTCCTGTCCGAGGGCACACACCTGGCGAGCAGCAGGGCGGGATTGGAGTCCCGAATGGCAACTTGAAAACGGGCTCATCTCTCTCATTGTAAGCACATCTTTAAAATGTGCTTTTCCCTAGCAGAAGCACATAGGGACACCCATCTGAGTAATCCCAGGATCAACTATACATACTTTTTTTTTTTTTAATTTTTATTGGGGTATAGTTGATTTACAATGTTGTGTTAGTTTCAGGTGTACAGCAACGTGAATGTATTATACATACACATATATCCACTCTTTTTTAGATTCTTTTCCCATATAGGCCAATACACAATATTGAGTAGAGTTCCCTGTGCTATGCAGTAGGTCCTTATTAGCTATCTATTTTATATATAGTAGTGGGTATGTGTCAATCCCAATCTTCCAATTTATCCCTCCCCCATCCCTTACCTCCTGGTACCATAAGTTTATTTTCTACATCTGTAACTCTTTGTAGATAAGTATACATACTTTAATAACAGGGCATATCAGTTAAAACCTCCAAGCACCTGGGACTACGTTGCTTACAGCACAGACTCTTGTCTCACTAGGAGTGCTGTAAACAGACTTTGGTGGATGTGGACGTTACTTATTATGCAGAATATGCCCAAAGTCCATTACATGCCCCAAACAGGGCTGGGGGCAGTGGAAGAGACCCTTTACCACATTCCAGTGGGAACTTTGAGTTCGGCTGTGGGGATGTAGATATCTCTCTATATATCACATTGGCAATACCTTATTTCATGTCTGTGGCCTGTAATACCAAATGGAAAGTTTTGGTGGGATGTTGAAGCTCAGGTCTCTATGTGTGCTTTAGAAGGAAGTTTTTCTTTTGTTTTGCTTCCTGCCTGAAAGAGGCAAGCCAAGCCACTTTATTTTATTTATTTATTTTTTTGCGGTACGCGGGCCTCTCACTGTTGTGGCCTCTCCCGCTGCGGAGCACAGGCTCCAGACGCGCAGGCTCAGCGGCCATGGCTCACAGGCCCAGCCGCTCGGCGGCATGTGGGATCCTCCCGGACCGGGGCACAAACCCGCGTCCCCTGCATCGGCAGGCGGACTCTCAACCACTGCGCCACCAGGGAAGCCCCAAGCCACTTTATTTTGATCCACGTCCTCGCTAAATGGGGAGTCCCAGGATTCTTATTGCCCGCCATCTTTTTTTCCTTGTTTTAGGAGTTCTGAAGTGTCTTTAGTAAAAGTCGCTGCCTGGCAGGCGTGAGACTCTTCTGGCCTAAAAACCCAGTTGATAGAATCAGTGCCCTACTTAGGACTCCAGGCTGTTGAGGCGGAGGTGCTGCAGGGCAGCCCTCAGAGTGGCCTTTGTCGCTGTTCCCCTTCATTCAGACTGTGGTCTGTAGGTGTCGAGCCCCCGTTTGAAAGAGCGCTGTACCGTGGAGCTGGGGTCAGGGCTCACAGGGGCGCCGCCGTTTCCAGGGTTTATGGTTCCGCCCTGCTTTTAAGGTGCAAGGTCAGCGGCTTCCTCCTCTTCACTTGGTTCATACAACTTTGGAGCACCTTGAATTCCAGAGAGTTCTAATGTGATTTAACTGGGTGCAGTCAAGAGTGGTCATTTTTAGATTTCCGCCACGTCAGCTTTTCCTTGTTTTTGAGCTTTATGTAGGTGTTTAGAGCTAGAAGAGATCTTGGAATCAGAGGTCACGGAGAACGTCAGGGCTGCAAGGAACCTCCTTTAGGTCAGTGCTCCCAGTGCCGTGGGGGCTGGACTTGCCCACACACCTCCTGAGTCAGGCTTTGTTGGGGTCTGAACGTAGCGTCTGCACCGTTTTGCGTTTCCTGGGCGCTCCGGACGCCCCCTAGAGTCTGAGGACCACTGCTTTACAGAACATCTGGGCCTCCCCTTCATTTCGCAGCTGAGGAAACTAAGGCCCAGGGAGGGGATGTGAGTTGCTTGCGTAGCACACAGATTTCAGAGCAGAGTCAGCTTTAGGACCAAGCGCAGCCTCTTTCCAAGTCTCCTAGCTGTCCCCTAAGCACCCACATTGTTACTAAAACTCAGTAGTGAAGTTCAGCTGTGCTCTTAAGCAAACAAGACCTGTGTGAGCCACGGGCTCATCCAAGCCCAGAACCTGGCCCCAGGCTTGTCTAGTAATAGTACCTTGAACTCGATAGGGCAGACTTTGGCTCACCTGAGGTAGTTTTCCCTGCTTTTTTATCCCGGCCTTCCCATGGAGTTGTTTGGCACCCGCAGGGGATTTTAATGCAACGCACAAAGAAGAAGCTTGAACCAGTGCATTTCATAAATTAATGCAGTGAGATAAGCAGTGGAAGTCAGGCTCTCATTTCCTAATTGGATTTCATGTGTCTGTATTCCTGATGGCTCTGCCCACAGATAAGGATAATGAGCTGAGCTGATTGGAAAACGCTTCCTGTAATGCCGTCACTGCTCCTTAGGGAGCTTAGGCAGGTGGTGATGAGGAAGCAGGGCTGGCCGTCATCTGCGTGGTGACTGTGATGGCACCCCGTCCCTATCACGGGGTCACACAGAAGTGCAACCCCCAGGAGACGGAGTCCCCAGTCCCCAGCAAAGTCAGGGTGGGGCAGGTAGTGCCTTTCCTCTATGAAAGACGCTGGTTGGTATAACCCGTAGGCTTGGGCTTGAACTCGAGGACACTTCTTACGGGACTGAGGAGACATGTTCTAGTCATATTCTAGGAGAATTATAAATATTAAACATTTAAAAAACTTTTTTCTTGGACTTCCCTGGCGGTCCGGTGGTTAATACTCCGCCCTTCCAATGCAGGGGGTGCGGGTTTGATCCTACATGTCGCGTGGCGTGGCCAAAAAAAAAAAAAAAACCAAACTTTTTCCTTGGAAAAAAATTATGTCTTTTTTTTTTTTTTTTTACTAGACTGTGATGAAAACACCACAGAAGGTAGGAAGGGCAATTTAACTCTCTTGGGCAGTGCTTTTTGGTTAGTAAAACTGAAGCATTTGTTGTTGACAGGGCTCTGATGAGAGGAGAGTAGAAACAGAGGTGGTGTCAGCATCTGGTGCAGACCTTGTTATGGGTGGGCGTGTCATTTTCAGTTTAAATTATTCACGTACAAGTGTTAGTTTTCTATTCTGTAGAAGTGAGGTGGTCTTTTTAACTTACCTAAAGCAGTGTTTTCTAAACAAAGCCCCCACCAGAGTGGCAAGGCAGCCCACCTTCTTGCAGAGGCCATCATGAGAGATGTGTGGGTTTTTATCACATGACATAAATGGGTCGTTAATTCACACGGAACCAGGAGTGCAGACCTCAGGACTGTAGGAAAGCAGCCTCCAGGCCTCCCGTAGCCACCCTGCCTTCCAGCTTGGGCCCCTGACACCCCCAGCCCTGCCTGCGGTGACCGCACGCTCCCTCCACTGACCCGGACCACTACTCCCAAGACCAGGTCAGGTATCGCCTCCGCTGTCGCAGCCCCTGGGGCAGGTGGAACTGCTCTCCCGCCCACCTTCCCTTCTTCCTTCCTTTTTCTTCCTTTTTCTTTTTCAGCTGAGGCACAAAATATGCTCAGGGAGATGCATAAAAAGCACAACTCGTGGCAGGCCTGCTCCAGTACCTTCTGGATCCGGGGGCTTCCCCCAGGAGCGGGCAAGCCTCAGCCAGGCCTCTGTATGGCTTCCAGGCCCCGGGAGGGTCTGAGGTGGAGGCCCAGCCAGCAGCTGGCTGTGCGGCGATGCTGGGGGTGGCAGCCCTCACCTGTTCGGTCTGGACAGTGTGGGTGGAATGTGGCAGGGGAGGGGCAGTGTGGGGGTCCCAGGGAAGTGGATGGTGTGAGAGACTTCGACATGGATGTAAACCCGTTTACCACGACCCAGAGAAAGACGGAGAACGTTTCCATCCCCTCCAAAGGCTCCTTCCCAGACGACTCCGTTTTCTCCAGGTGCAGTCACCGTTCTACTCCAGTCACCACCAGTTAACTTCGTCCTTCAGCTTTGATTCCTCTGACACTTTGGGGTCTGAGGAGCATAATCATGGGCCTGTTTAGGGGGGATTCACATGCCTTTTGGCCTTCCCGGCATCACTCTTTTTTGTGTGTGTGTGTGGGGGGGGGGCGTCCCTCTTGACGTGCTCTCGTAAAACCTCACGACAGTCCTATGAAGTGGGTGTTGCTAGCTCATTTTCTAGAAAAGGGGATTAAGGCTCACCGAGGTTAAGAGAATTACCCCAGATGAAAGAACGGTTACTAACAGAGGTAAGAATGAACTTGCATCCTCTCTAGGAAAGCCCCCTCCCACTAGAAAAGCCCAGGCAGTCCCCCATCCGCAGGGCCTCCTGTGCTTTCCAGGTAGTTTTGCTTCCTGTTTGTTTCATGCAGCCCCCAGTTGGCAGGGATCGTGCCTTGCTGGTTTGGTGATCCCACGGTACCAAGCAACTCGGGAGCAGGACGTTGACCAGGGGCCAGTCAGCGGATGAGGGCCGCTGGCTGCTCAGCTCTGCTTTTGTGCGTGGCCAGGAGGAAGCCCGCAGAGACGATGCCCTGGCACTCGTCCAGGCCCCTGCTCCAGGCTGGAAGGAAGGTGCCCAGTGCGTGGAGAAAATGCCCGGACGGCCTGTTGTGAGTCAGCTCCGAGCAGCACGGCGTTTCTTCGGTCCCTCTTGCTGCCTCCCTGTTGGTGTCCCTCTCATGGCAGGAATTTGGTTCTGAATGTGAGGCCTGGACCCACTCCCTGCTCTTGGGTGACCTGAGTTAAGCAGGCTAAAATAATGCCGCTGCCCTGAGCACGTGGGTATTCTAATCTGAGAGTGCCTGTCTGCTGGCGTCCCCAAGGACATGGCAACACCCTTGCCTCTCCTTCGTGCTGGAGGCCCTCTGGGGCGGGGCTCGGCAGGAGGCAAGCAGTTCATGGGTCTGAAAGGGCTAAGTTCCAGGGTCAGCCCTCGGCTTTCCCCACTTGTGACCAGTCTCGCCCCACTGGGAGTTACACCCTGAAGCTCCTAGAGCCTCAGCTCTTGGCGTTCGTCTGCAGTTCAGAGGGCTGCCTCGTGAGGAAGGATCATGCTCCTTCGTAATAGTTGACCCACTCGGGTGTGTGTCAGCGGCACAAATCCTCAGCCCCCTCCTCCGTAAGAGGACCCTCTAGTGCTCAGGAGGTCGTCAGGACCGGAAGCCGTGGGGGTCCCTGGTTTCAGTTGCCCAGCCTCTGCTTGGGGAGAAGTGACATTGCCCGGCGAGTGACGGGCCAGCCTTGTTGTCTGAAACAAGATCTTTCTCTGTGGTACATCTGGAACTTGGCCTTCTCAAGGGTCCCAAAATAGCCGGGCCGCTGAAGGGAGAGCTTCGTGAGAGGACGTGAGAGAGACCCAGCCGCTCCTCGCCAAGCAAGCTTTGTTGGCATCACAGGACCAGCACAATTAATCCCCGGGTTTTGTTCTCATCCTGTGCTGCTTCTGCATTCCTTGTGTATCTCCCTTTCTCGCAGCTTGTTCTGAAAATATTCCTGAGGAGGCAGCGTCCTGCTGCCGCCCCTTCTCGGCAGACTTCCAGGCTGTGGCCTGCGTTGGGGTCCAGCACGAGTCTGTATCGCTAGGAGACATGAGGACCTTTTAGAAAGCAGAGAAGCTGGCTGTGGCTTAGGGAGCTGGAATTGAATGCTCCTCGCACCTTCTGATCTGGGTCTGAAGATTTGGGAGGCGGTCAGTGACTCACCTATATGCACTGCCGCCGTGTCACCCAGCAAAGAAACCTGTCTTACCAGTTTGGGAAACTGGGACTTCTCTTATGCTCAACAGTTACCTTGGCTCCCCTGCTTCCTCTGGATGCTTCTGATTCTTAAACTGCTGCCCATACAGCGGCTTCAGTAGGGAGGGGGCGTCTGGAAGAAGTGGGGGGTCAGGGGAGGCACCCACACTCTGTGTGCTCAGCTGCCCTGGCTGGCACTGTGGGACCCAGGGTCACTCTGGAAGGTCGGAGTGCTCGGCGCCATGCTTGCCCCTGTTCAGGGCTGTCTCCTTCCCAGTTTCTAACAGGTCTGTGTTTCTCTTTATTTTAGGAAACCGCATCCTCTGCAAACGGGCCTTCGAGGGAGGGCTCCAGGCCGCTGCCCACGAGGGAAGGCCACGTTGTGTACCCCCGGCTCCGGCCAGGCTACATTCCCATCCCCGTCCTCCACGACGGTGCCCAGAGCCGGCAGCCACATCCTGTCTTCGCCTACCCCCAGCCTGGGACGCAGCGCTTCCAAACCGAGGTAGCCCCAGCGGCCCCGCAGAGGCCCCAGTCACCTCTGCGGGGAGTGGCGGAAGCCACCCAGCCAGATAAACAGTGCGGACAGGCGGTAGCGGCTGCGGCAGCCCAGCCCCCAGCCTCCCATGGACCTGAGGTAAGGAGAGGCTTGGCTCGCGGGCCTGTGGGGTGCGACCCGGGGGTGCCGGGTTTTGTGCTTCCTAGGCTGCCCCAGACCCTGATGCGGTGCCCAGGGCAACGCCTGGTGAGATGCGGGGCATCTGGGCCTGGCCCGCAGCGTCAGAGGTCACCCAGCAAAGATCGCTTACAAGACAGCCCAGCGTCCCCCCAGCGTTTCACAGGTTGGTTTTTCAGGTGGGCAGGGATCATGGTTTATTTTGGTAGTTAAGGAATTGGGGCTCAGAAGGGTAAACAGCTTGGTCCACAATCACAAAGTTGGAAGTGGTGTCACTGGGACTGGAAGCCTGGCCTTCTGGCTCCTCACGTACACCCACCGAGCTTTCTGTATCAGAAATACAGAGATACTCTGTGTTATTTCATTCAGTTCAGTGTTCACAGGTAAGTATTAACTGCTTGGAGCTGTACTGACGTGAAAATGAGACCACGTACCTGCCCTTACAGTGTCCACAGTTTCAAAGGAAATGTAAAATGAGGAGTCAGGAAGGCAGCTGCTTTTCAGGTTTTAAGTCTGAAGCCGACACTTCTTGCACTAATGTCTAAAGAATAGTTCTTAATCCAGTTCTTAGCGGAGATTTGAAGGCCAGTGGACCCCAGTAGGAATCCTGAGCCGTAAGCCCTCTGGCTTTTGCAGTCTGCACAGCATCCCATCGTGTGTCTCCTGCACTGCTCTTGAGCACAAATGCTTGCTCCGGGGATGAAAAATCACAGGAGGCTCTTTTCCCTTCCTTGGAGAAGCGGTACTTGAATTTGTAATGTTTTTGTTGTAAAAATCAAAAGTGACACATCAGTCAGAGAAACCTGAAGAAATTTAAGCTAGCAGGGCCTGTAGAAGCCAGCTGCGGAAACACCCTTCTGATTTTCTAGAACAGAAAGTAGGTGGCCGGGAAGGGAAAGGGGCCTGGCCTGCCTCGGTCCACACAGGGGACACAGTTCCCAGTGCCGAGCTGAGTTCTCTGTGGATAAGCAGGAAGAGAGTTACGGAAAGAGGAAATGCAGTGATAACAATAAATAAAATGTAGCGAGCGCTTCCTGTGTGTGGCACTGGGGCTGGGACACACGCACAGATTATTTTACCGAATTGTCAGGTCAGCCCAGTGACTGGGCTGGGGGTTAAACACGGCTCCTAAAGCTATTGAGCTGTTAAGAGTTTGAGCCCAGGCCTCTCGACTCCTGAGCTCCCGGTCTTAACACTACATGTTGAAAATGGAAAGGCTTACAGACGGGAGGTCATGTTAAACCTGCTGCCCAGAGCAGGCGCGTGACGGGGACAGAGTCGGAGGGCCAGACAGCGGTGGCTCACGGGGCTGTGTATCCACCCTTTGCGTCTTGCAGCGATCCCAGTCTCCGGCTGCCTCGGACTGCTCATCCTCGTCCTCCTCGGCCAGCCTGCCCTCCACCTCTGGCAGGAGCAGCCTGGGCAGTCACCAGCTCCCCCGGGGCTACATCTCCATCCCTGTGATACATGAGCAGAATGTCACCCGGCCGGCAGCCCAGCCCTCCTTCCACCAAGCCCAGAAGACCCACTACCCAGCTCAGCAGGGCGAATACCAGACCCACCAGCCTGTGTACCACAAGATCCAGGGAGATGACTGGGAGCCCCGGACCGTGTGGGCAGCACCCCCGTTCCGGTCACCCGTCCGGGGTGCGTCCAGCCGGGAGGGCTCTCCAGCCAGAAGCAGCACGCCGGTGCACACCCCGCCGTCCGTCCGCGTGCAAACCGTGGTCGACAGGCCTCAGGTATGGGAGTCGGTGTCGGCAGACTAGCTGGGGCAGCATCTCTCCAGGGCCTGAGGAGCTCTGTGCAGGTGCCCTGGGTCCCCCCACCCCACCCCGCCCCACCAGCCCCTCCTGGTTTACGCATGTAACTGGGGGGGAGAGCGAGATCCTGAAAACGGCTGGTCATCAGCAGAAATGCAGGCGAGGGCTGTGAACCTCCAGTGCTTTCTACAGCTTTTGCTCATTTTTCGCTGCAGCTGCCTCAGGGGCAGAGCTCCAGCCACCACCGTGGGCAACGGCGGGCAGAACACAGCGTCACAAACCTGTGGGGGGGGCCCAGGTGTCTCAGTGCCCACCATACCCTTGCAGTGCCCTGCAGCCCCTCCACACCCCACCCTCAGCCTCGTCTCCTGCCTCACTCACACCCCTTCCTGCACTCTGCAGGCCCTTCACTCTGTTGTCTCCTCTTTTGTGCCTTTGCTTGTGCTGGACCCACTTCCTGACATGCCTTCACAATCCAAGTTGTCCCCATCCTCCAGGGGACAAGCCAGTTGCCACTTCCACGAAGCCTCCTCATCTTTCCCACGGTGCCTAGTATGAGTCCCTTACAGTTCAGCTCTGATTATTCTGTGCATTTATTTCAAAAGTGTTCATCCACTCTCTTCAGCTCTGCTCTGACCTTGGCCACAGGGAGCATGTCTTACTCCTTTCTCCTCCTTTGCGGTAGAGGACCACGTTCCCTGGCCGATGCCTGGCTGGCTGGGCGGATGGGAAGCCTTCCTTCCTGCCTGGTGAAAGTTACAGGCAGGGCCCACTTATCCTTCAGTAGAGATGTGCAGGCACTGGTTCCTGGGGGAGGAAGTCTTCTAGTTTTAGCCGAAGAACACTCGGCAGCCGGGGCCGCTCAGCTGCTGAGTGAATTCTCGGCCACAGTTTTTATTTTTTATTGTTATTTAAATATTTATTTATTTTTTCAACATTGTGGAAGTGCCTTTACATTTATTTATTTATTTTTGGCTACGTTGGGCCTTCCTTGCTGCGTGCAGGCTTTCTCTAGTTGCGGCGAGCGGGAGCTACTCTTCCTTGCGGTGCGCGGGCTTCTCACTGCGGTGGCTTCTCTTGTTGCGGAGCACGGGGTCTAGGCACATGGGCTTCAGTAGCTGTGGTGCGTGGGCTCAGTAGTTGTGGCTCGCGGGCTCTAGATCGCAGGCTCAGTAGTTGTGGCGCACGGGCTTCGTTGCTCTGTGGCACGTGGGATCTTCCCGGACCAGGGCTCGAACCCACGTCCTCTGCATTGGCAGGCGGATTCTTAACCACTACGCCACCAGGGAAGTCCCTTGGTCACAGTTTTTAAAAGGAGAGTGCTCTGTAAACAAATGCAGGGCATCTTCTTACTACAGATGGTGACACTGTTCAGGGCCCTCAAACAGAACACCTCCTTTTATGGTTTTTTTGTTTGTTTGTTTTTTTGCTTTTTTATTTGGAAATGATTTCAACCTTACAGAAGAGAAGTCCAGTATATATGAAGGTCATGAAAGCAAAGATTCACCCATATTTACTGTTAACATTTTGCTACATTTGCTTTGTCATCTTTTCCTCTCTCCATATATTATCTGTATTTTTTGTTTGAGGTTTAGTTGTAAATATCATGTCCAGTACCCCTAAATATGTCAGCAGATATTTTCCTAAGAGAGCGACCTTCTCATTCATACCCACAGTAGAATTATCAGATGCAGGAAGTTTAACGTCCTTAAAACATTGTTGTCTCATACGCAGTCCCTTCTCAGATCTCCTTTACAGCAATTTCCTCCTGTTTCAGGATCTAATGTAGGATCATGAGCACTGCACGCAGGTGTCGTTTGCCTTTAGTCTCCTTTAATCTGGAAAACACGTTCTCAGTCTTTCTCTGCTTTCATGACCTTGACATTTTTGAAGAGTACAAGCCATAGGGCACCCCCTCTTAAGTGTTTCCAAAGTCACTTACTCAGCCATTGTTTTAAAACCCAAGAAGAGGCGTGTGGCTGGTTCATGAGTGCTAAGGGCCAAAGTTAAGCATTTCTGGTTGGCAGAAGAGATTTGATGGAAAAGGAGGCTACTGGTGTTCAAACAAAACAGCCAAGCGTCCATCAGATCCTTACTCAGACTCAGTAATCCTTTCAAATGGGAAAGAAGTGCCCATTTGCAAAGCTGGAGATGTTTCCTCTCATACCTTTCCCATATTATCAATATTTTCTATAATTGGTGGAACAATATTTAATCCTATTTCCACTTAATCCTGTTTGTTTGTAGTGGCCTCCCTTTTATAGCTTGTCTAGAAATCCCTTTTTAGAGGCTTGCAGAGATTTGACCTAACTGAACCTTATAGTGGGATTTAGTGTTTTTAATATGGAGTACTTTAGAAATAATGTAGTCCAACTCCTATTTCCCAGTTGATAAAATCAGTGTGTGAGATTTTTAAGGGGGTTTTAGATGTTCACTTAAATGCTAGGTGAACCAAGATGTTTCTGTTTCAAGCATAGTTAATTTTTTAAAATATCGCTATAGCTTATAGTCACATTAAAGAGTATCTCAGCCTCTGTAACCAATGTAGTCAGTGCAGAGATTCTGCACTGCTGAATGTTAGCTCTGGCACAGATGTGTCCAGGCAGAATTCTTACTGCATTACCCATCTTCAGCATCTTGCTTATTCTCAAAAAATACATCAGTCTGGGCAGAAACCACAAGGCTGTCATAGCTTGCTTTTTTAAAAAAAAAAAAAAGACGATTATAACTTTTCTGAAACAGGAGATGGGAAGGCCACACCCTGAGCGGAGACTGTCACACAGGGTGATGAAGGGGGCCAAGTGGCCATTACTACTCCCTGGCTCCATCACCTGAAAGTCTGAGTCACCCAGGACTTTGCTTTGAGGTAAAGTAACTCAGCCGTCAGCATGCGTTTTTGGTATTTTCATTTTTGAAAATTATATTGGTTTTCTTTTCATTGCCGTAAGAATACCATCTCCAGAAAAATTCAGTGAGAGATGACAGACCAAGAGACCAAGGTTAACGAACGGAAGCATAACAATGGTTTGGTCACATACATGATGAATATCATATTTTAATTTTGTAACAGGTTTGGCTGACTTTGAAAATCCCTCTTATACTATTAAACTTTAAAAAAGTCATTTCTGGGCTTCCCTGGTGGTGCAGTGGTAGAGAGTTCGCCTGCCGCTGCAGGGGACATGGGTTCGTGCCCCAGTCCGGGAAGATCCCGCATGCCGCAGAACGGCTGGGCCCGTGAGCCACGGCCGCTGGGCCTGCGCATCTGGAGCCTGTGCTCTGCAACGGGAGAGGCCACAGCAGTGAGAGGCCCGCGTACCGCAAAAAAAAAAAAAAAAAAGTCATTTCTGTTTTCTTCTAGTCAGTACTAGCTACAAACGACTGCCTGTGACTCTCAGCCAGGTATTAAAACTATCTCTGTGTCCTTGCCTCTTCTCAGCAACCCGTGACCCATCGAGAACCTTCACCTATTCCCCAACCTGAAAACAAACCAGAAAGCAAGCCAGGCCCAGCTGGACCAGATCTCACTCCTGGACACATCCCGATTCAAGTGATCCGCAAAGAGGTGGATTCTCAACCTGTTTCGCAGAAGCCCCTGCCTCCCTCTGAGAAAGTAGAAGTAAAGGTTCCCTCTGCTCCGGTGCCTTGTCCTCCCAGCCCGGCCCCTTCTGCCATCCCCTCTCCCCCCAAGAACGTGGCTGCAGAAGAGAGAGCAGCCCCCAGCCCTGCCCCTGCAGAAGCCACACCCCCAAAACCAGGAGAAGCTGAGGTACCCCCAAAACATCCAGGTGTGCTGAAAGTAGAAGCCATCTTGGAGAAGGTGCAAGGGCTGGAGCAGGCTGTGGACAACTTTGAAGGCAAGAAGACAGACAAAAAGTACCTGATGATAGAAGAGTATTTGACCAAAGAGCTACTGGCCCTGGATTCGGTAGACCCAGAAGGACGCGCTGATGTCCGCCAGGCCAGGAGAGATGGCGTCAGGAAGGTTCAGACCATCCTGGAAAAACTTGAACAGAAAGCAATAGATGTCCCAGGTCAAGTCCAGGTTTATGAACTCCAGCCCAGCTCCCTTGACACCGATCAGCCACTTCAGGAAATCATGGAGATGGGTGCCGTGACAGCAGACAAGAGCAAGAAAAGTGCTGGAAATGGAGAAGATCCCAGTACTGAAACCCAGCAGCCAGAAGCCAAAGCAGCAGCAGCTCCAAACCCCAGCAGCACGACAGACACAGCTGCAAACCCAGCAGCACCATAGTCTCCACGAAATAAAAAATCAGCCCCAGAGACCGGGAACTGATTGTGTGCTTTAGAGAATTTTAAGTTGCATGCATTTCAGGGCCTTAAAATCAGTTGGTTTTTACTCTTCATAGCTGCTTGGTAGGCAGTAACTTGGGTGGAGGCGAAACACACTAATAAAAGGCCTAAAAGGAGAATGATGCTTTTCCTGTGTATTCATATTCTGTACAAATAAAGAAGTTGCTTGTTACAGAAGTTTAACCCCATAGCTTGCTGTTTTGGAGCCCTCTCTGTATGGGTCCCACATGTTAGTCATGGATGTGAACTGTCTTTCTACAGCTCTGGACTGAAGGAGTTTTTGCGGGGGTAGATGGGGAGTCGATTTCTCATCAGTAAATATGAAACCCATTTTTCAGAAGTGTTGCCATTTTAGTGGGATGATTTTTGTCATCTCATAGCTAAAATACTTAACTTTAGATAGAATAAAATGTGTAAGGAGCCGTAGGAATATCTGTATGTTGGATGACTTTAATGCTACATTTAAAAAAAGGAAAATAAAGTAATAATGTAACTCAAAATGTCTTCTGTGGTTTCTAAATTTTGAAGAGTGGCGGCATCAAGATGATCTTTCACTGGCTTCAGGAAAAATAAACAGACACGTTAGCAGGCCTGCTCTGGGATTCGTAACATCTCTCCTGGCCCGACCCACGAGAAGATGAGTCTTGGTCATTTTTCATTCTCAGGTTGCAGCTGCAACCTGGGAAGACTCAGAGCTGTGAACCCAGGTAATGGGAACGTGCCCATCACACCTCTTCAGATTGCTCCAGCAGAGGTGCATCTCTGCCCACCTGGCCCCAGGCCATCCGCAGGCCTCACTGAAGGGCTGAGTGGGTTCCAAAGTGCACAGTTCCCAGTATTGTCTGAGGCTGGCCCAAGCGTTCCCTGGAGTCCAGCTCACTGGGGGTTGGGCACATGTTCTATGAGAGTCTTGGGGTCATCTTTATCTGACACTCCTCTGAGTCACCAAGCCAGTCCGAGACCAGGTTTATCTTCCCACATTGGGTTCCTCGAAGTCACTGGGGTTAGGAATCAGATGCACTGTGAAGCCACTGGGGGGAAGAAGATTGTTCTAGGCTAAGGTTTTTTAAGGGCTTGGGAAGGACCACCGCCCAGAATGTGGACACGTGCAAGATTTTGTTTTCTTAAGTCCTTTGCCAAATAAACCTGAAATTGAGAAGGAAGAGAAAGATGGGTCTGAGATCTTGGAACTCCAAGGGAGCCCTCTGGCTTAAGAGCCCCTGGGCTGAATTCCTCATGACTGTATTGAGTTTAATATTGGTGCCTGACGATGCTGCACAAAAATACACGCCAGTGTGCTTGCCACTCCCAGCTTCATGAGAAAGGTTGAAGTCATTCTGATGGGAATCGCCAACATCTTTACAGGGTGAACTCATTTGAGGAGTAAAAGCTGACTGCTAACAACACCACCGATTCTAGAAATGCAAATTTGTAAATAGGAGAAAAGCTTACTGGACTATTTCTTAGATGAATCACAGATAAAGAACGTGACCATCTTTTTGGCGACTTGGGCATCTACTCTCAACGGATCTCAACGTTAAGGCTTCTTAAGTGGTTACTGAATTAGGTTGATGTTTTATCACTGAAGATCATCAACAGGTAGCCCTTTAACGTGGTTAGAATGTTTTCAATCATCCAAATTAGATGGTACGTGGATATCAGGCAGGAGTTACCTGACCTGTGTTGGTGGTTCCTGGGCCTTGCATGGCGGCAACCAGCTGGGCATAGGGCTGGCTGCAAGGCTCTTGTTAACGTGCCTGTCCCTGTAGGAGTCAGGGGACATATATCCACTGAGTGTCTCCTAGTGTCAGGGGAGTTCGGCTTATTTAATCATCCCAGTGCTCTTTAAGAGAACATTAAAAAAAGAGAGAACATTATGGGCTTCCATGATGGCGCAGTGGTTGGGAGTCCGCCTGCCAATGCAGGGGACATGGGTTCGTGCCCCGGTCCGGGAATATCCCACGTGCCACAGAGCGGCTGGGCCCGTGAGCCATGGCTGCTGGGCCTGCGCGTCCGGAGCCTGTGCTCCGCAACAGGAGAGGCCACAACTGTGAGAGGCCTGCGTACCGCAAAAAAAAAAAAAAAGAGAACATTATACTTTAGAACACAGGCTTGATTCAGAACTCCTGGGTTCAAATCAGAGCTTCACAGAAAAGCTCTGGGACGGTGGGCAAGTTACATAGCCTTTTCTTTCCTGGTTTCCTCGGTTGTAAAATGGGGCCGGGGGAGCGGTAATGATTAAATGAAATCAGACATGGGAAGCAGTGAAAGGAGTGCCTGCTGGCACATTAGCTGTAATTAACGTCCTGGTATAATGGGCGCAGGAAGTGACTTGCGCTGGCCAGGCCAGGAGCAGGGGCAGGATTGAATCCAGGCCCAGGAGACACTGAAGTGCATGCTGGTCTCACCATCTTCTTTAGCACCGAGAAGAAAAGGACTCCGCGTGAGGTACCACAGAAATTTGAGAATAACCTCTCACCTCTTCCTTGGTCAGAACGTCGGTTCTTTTTTTTAACATATTGCGTCCAAATCCTATGAGATTATTCCTGTCTCTCAGATAAAACAAGTGACTTAGAACTATTTTTTTTTCGGCTGCGCCACGCGTCTCACAAAATCTTAGTTGCCCCGTGGCAGTGAGACTGCGAGGGAATTCCCAACTTGGAACTATTAAGTAATGGCGTCTATACTAGAGTCACCAGCAGACTCAACGCTGGGCGCCCAGACCCCTGGGTTTGGTTTCCAGAGGTTCCTGGAGCTCCCCTCCCCCTCTCACCTTGCCTCTGCTCCCCTCCAGCCATTCCCACCCAAGTCTGCGCCCACCCTTGAGGCCTACCTGTCTGTGAGACCTTCCTGGCTCAGACAGTACTCTTCTTCTCAAACTTCCATTTCCCGAGATTCCTAACAGCCTTCAATCTGTTTGCCAGGGGACAGTTGTCTTCCAGCTGTTTTAGTATCTTGAGTCACTTACTAAGCAAGACTGTAAGTCCCCTGAGGGCAGGTCCATTCTGACCCCTTATTCCCACATTGTTGTCCAGACCTGGCACATGGGCACCCTGGACGGCCAAGGTCCCTTAAAGTTCTTTTGACATAAGGTCTTAGGATTCCAAGGCTAAATTGACGTTTACTCAGAAATAAACATCGGTATTAGTTGACGAGAGTTTAGAGCCAGCTCTCCCACCAGCTTTCTCTTGTAATCCCCAGAATGTATGTTTAGGCAAATTGATTCCCTCTCTGGGCCATTTTCTCCCCATCTGTGAAAGGCAGGCGTTGACCCAGGCCCTGGCTGGTGGTCTGGACAATTCCAGCAAGTTGGCACTTCTTCCTGTTGTGGTCTCTGTGCTTCCTTTTTCTCCAGCCATGCAGCACGGAGCTCCGTCGTGGGCTGGGCATTCCTGCAGCGCCTGTGTGAGTGTGGCCGCCACTCTGTAACGTTATACAAACGTAATCATATGCCAAGGGACAGGATCCAGGGTTGCAGTTATTTTGGGACGTGCAGGAGCCTGTGGGAAAATGCTGGAACATGTCTGAGTCACCCAGGCAAATACCTTTCTTTCCGTGTTCCAACATGTTTTGAACTTCCAGGCAGCACAAAAGAAGCCCCAAGCAGGGCACACACGCCCTTTGTGTCTTTGTGCCCTTCCTGGGCTGCACCTCTGTTTCTCGGCTGTGTCCCTACATCCTCTGAGCACTGAAACGTTTGCATGTGGAGGGGTGCGAGGCGGGGCTGGATTAAGCCCTGGGAGGCCCTAAGCGTGGAAAAAATTGTGGTGCCTCCCCACAGTGTAATTCAAAATAAAAACAACCGTAAGCCTCAAAGGAGGAGTAAGGATGATCTGAGTTTGCCCTGCTCTATACTCTTGTTGCTTTTTTAAAAATTAAAAAATTCCTCCAGCTGTGTGTGTGTGAGGTTGGGCGGGTCCCTACTTTCCCGATACTCAAGCTGCCTGTTGTCCAGCACTGCCCACTAGCAACCAGTGGAGACCAGGAAGGGCTGCTTCAGTCCCGGGGGAGAGTCCTGAGCAGGGCGAGGAGGGTCCAGGAGCAGAAGAGAGAGCAGGAGAGGCCAGAGCTGGTGCCATCCGCTCTCAGTGGGAGGGGGCGGAAGGCAGCCACGGGTCACGTGCTCAGGTCCCCGTACTCGGGCGCCCAGGACAGTGGGGGGCAGAGTTCCTGGAGTCTCTGGAAGGCAGTCTTTTTTTTTTTTTTTGTATTGCTTTAATTTTTATAATAATTTATTCTCATGGCAATAATTTGTGTGGCTAAAAAGGCAGTCTTAAGGAGGTACAAGGAGGTGGGGAGGGCATGGGAAAAAGAATTCCAGGCAGACAGGGCCTTTTTCTAGAACACTCCCTTTCCTGTCCTTTCCTGCCCTAGCCAGCCCTCCACCCTGATGCCCTGGGTTGTCCACAGCCCTGTTGCTGAGGAAGCAGGTCTCTTCTGATCCAAAGAGAAATCCTACCATCAGCCCCTCCCTGTTCCTGTCCACCTCACCTCTCTTTCCCTCTCACCTGGCTCCTTCCTTCTCCTGAGCCTACAAAGTGCAAACCAAAAAGAGGCATTTCCTCCTCGATCCCCAGTTTACCCCCCTTATTATTAAATACCTGGGAAGAGCAGCTGAAGTCTACCTGGCCTCCCAGGCTCTGCTCTTCCTGCTGCAGTCCGTCCCCTGCCCGCGCCTGTGGCCCGGGCTGCAGTCCCAGCACAGCGGCCTGGACTCGCCCCCTCCCCTGCGCACTCTTACAGTGAGGTCGCCCAGGCTCCTGTCCCCATCCCACGGCTCCTATCACTGTGTGACGCTTAGTTTTCTGTGTCGGCTTGGCTGGGTGATAGTACCCGGCTATTAAGCAGACACTAGTCTAGGTGTTGCTGTGCAGGTATTCTGTAGAAGTGGGTGGGCCTCATAAAATCAGTCGAAGGCCTTAAGACCACTAACAGATTTCTTGGAAAAGAAGACATCCTGCCTCAAGATTGCAGGGTCAGCTGCCGCCCGAGTCTCCAGCCTGGGGACCTAACCCACAGATTCCCCACTTGCCTGTCCCCACAATCGCCAATTCCTTAAAATCTCTTTTAAACACACACACACACACACACACACACACACACACACGTTTTCTGGGGAACCCTGACTGATGATACATACTGTTTACATTCTCACTGGGTCACTGGCTTCTACTTCCCAGACCCCAGTCACCTCTGGGTCTGTGTTTCTGGTACCTACTTTCTCCTGAGCACCAAACTTCTATGCACAGTTGCCTTCAGGGCACACAGGAAAGTGAGCAGTCACTTGATACCCTCCAGGAACCTAGAATCTAAACTCCAGGGTTCCTTCAGCACCATCAGCGCTGTCACAGCACAAGCCTTCCATGGGGCACAATCCCAGATGCTCACGGAGGCCACCAGCTGGAGGAGCAGCAGAGCCAGCCATCCCAGAGGGCATGGCTGGGGGCAGATGCCACCCTTCTCAGTCCCAGCCCATGGTTGCCATGTGAGGACATGGGTC